TTTTTTTTTTTTTTTTTTTTTTTTTTTTTTTTTTTTTTTTTTTTTTTTTTTTTTTTTTTTTTTTAATTTTATTAATCTTCGGTGACATGCTTGATTGTTTGATGCATGTTAGTTCGTCCTTTTGACATTTCATTTAGTTGCTAAAGATAGTTGACTCAGTTCTGAATTCTGATGGGCTTGGTTACAAGTTATGTTGCTTGAAATGCAGACGGAACATTTCACTGCTGATTAGTTCTTTAGAAGTACTACTTTCCAATTTTAAATACCGACCTGTAAATTTCTTTCACTACTTACTGACAAAGATGATGCCCTCGTCTCCTGCATTCTGGCTATCGATTACGATGTCACCGTAAAGAACTAAGAAAAAACAAGATAGTGCAGGGTTCAACACTAATTAGAATGTCGGTAGAGTATGCTTGAGCCTGTATGATATGACCTGAAACTTGAGTTGGAGAAGTAACATTTTTTCCTCCAGGGATCTTACACTTGGACATAAGAGTTTACTTGAAAAAATGATCGATCCACAAAGCTCATTGAGCGTTCATCCATGGCTGATGTGTGACATTTGTCAAGAATTGGTAAGTTTGTGTTAATCGACATAAAAAGGCTCGTCGCATACTTTCTGGATTGATTGGAAAATGGGCTATTGCTTGGGAATGGTTTTCTTGTAGGCAACAGTTTTCCAACTAGGCGTTCAAATTATTTTTCCAGGCATGTGGATATGATAGGAAGGATAAGTCTTGAATCCCATTCGTTTATGCTAGGTGAAAGTTACCTGAGTCAAGTTATGCATAAAATTGGTTGACAGGTAGGCATGAGTTAACTTAGGAGTCTATAAATCACATGCCTAGGTTTCTTTTTGGGCTTTAGCATGATAGGATGGGCAATCTTCTGTAATGTACATGGGTACGTTAAAGAAAAGCAAGAGTTGTGTATTGTGAGGACTGGGGAGAGACTAAAGTTTCTTGAAAACTTGTTTGGCTCATCTCTCTTCTTCGATACTAGGAATTTTTATCAAGTAGTATTTCAACGCTTCTTAGAGCACGTAAAGAGGGAAGAAAATGGACAACCATATGAAATCAGTAAAGCAATGATTGGGGCCTATGGCTGTGGAAGTGTACAAGATACCAGTGATTGAAAGGATTTTTACAATGTTAGTGGAGGGTGAGTTAAGCTGCTATTGAAGAAACAAGAAGCTGAGCATGCAAGGGTGGACCTTCGAATCAAGGGAATTCAATGAAAGGGAAGCAGCTGGTTGCTCTGATCTAGGAGGGTGAGAGCGGGGAAATGAGTGGAATGGTCCGAGAGGGGGTGAAGTTGATGAGCAAAGCTTTCATGCGGAAGGACGAATTACCACCATTTGAAGAGATAGATCCAGGAAGATGGAGTTTTTTCTAAAGTGGAACATTGTATCAAAATGATCGTCCACTGCAGTAGAAGTTGGAGCTGCGTTTCAAGATGAGCTTACTTGGCATAGGGCATAATGCTACAAGAGAGATTGAGTGGGCTGGGAGCCCAGCGTACCTCTGATTTTAGGGCTTGAACTCTGATGGTGGTTTAGCACTAATTCATAGAAGTTCACGCTCTAGATTTTTTTCCTAGTAAGCAAATAAATTTGAAAGATTGTGGATACATACATAGTCTTAGACAGAATGAGGGTTTTAAAGGTTTTGGATGCCATGATACTAACACCTGGTTAACAAACATTCATGAGGTTGTCTGAGACTTTAGTAACTGCTTTTTGATTAATAATGTTGTATTCTTGTTTAATGTATAAAAGGAGTATTGAATGATGATCATAGTACATGAAAAGGTATTTATAGTAATTCATGTCCTAATTGATGTCTTGCAAGAGAACTAATGTGTGTTGATCAGACTCTTGACTTGCAGTTTCTATTCTCATGGTATAATTTGTCGTCATTTTACATCAAAGGATGCTGCTGCTCTTTATTTATTAGGCTCATTGATATTTTGCAATTAAATTTGATTTCCCTTTATTGGACTTGTGTCTGGCAGTTGATTAAAATGGTAGTACCATTAGCTAAAGAAAGTGTAGAAAGCAGACATGGAATTTCTGGTATTATTGGGACCGGAAAGTGTGAAAGCTACTTAATTTTTAGTAGTGAAACTTCCCTTGGGGATGCATTTCGGATATTCCTATATTTTATGGGCCTTGCATATTGTTTCATCGGATTGTCTGCTATTACTGCTCGGTTTTTCTGGTCCATGGAAAATGTTGTGAAGCACTCAAGGAAAGTGGTAGAGATAGATCCATACAACAATACTAAAATTGTTCGATATGAGAAGGTCTGGAATTTTACGATTGCAGATATCAGCTTACTGGCGTTTGGCACTAGCTTTCCTCAAATATCCTTAGCTACTATTGATGCTATTCGAAATATTGGCAACCTGTATGCTGGAGGTTTATTCACTTACTTCCTTTCCTCGCATAAGTTCTAAACTAGGACATTCAAGTGAATGAACTTGCTGAACTCTGTTTTTTTTTCTTTTTTTAAAACTTGAATTTTACATATAAAAAGATATATTAAATTTTACGTCATTCATCAATGTTATCTGGTTAGCCAATTCATGCCCATAAGCTTATGCATGCCTTCTGCCTGACACGTGAAATTAACTTTATAGTACAGTTCATCGGGTTCTTTTCTTTATTACTATTATTATTACTTTTTTAGCCAGGAGGGTTAAAAGGCTTTGTATTATGAGTAGAAACTACTGATTTTTTCCCCCTCTCTAGAAGTCTGATTGTTTGGGATGGTACTCTATTGCCATACAATAATTTTTGTTTATTATTTGACTTAATGTAATATAGGTCTGGGACCTGGAACTCTGGTTGGTTCTGCTGCTTTCGACCTTTTTCCCATTCATGCTGTTTGCGTTGTAGTGCCTAAGGCAGGAGAGTTGAAAAAAATATCTGATATAGGAGTTTGGCTAGTTGAGCTTGCTTGGTCTTTCTGGGCATATATTTGGCTGTACATTATTTTGGAGGTAATGCTTTACATTTTCTCTTTGGTAGGATGCTCTAACTCTTTTCTTGCCCCTTTTGACATCACATGTATTGTATTTTCTCTTTAATCTCAAGTTTTAACGTTGAAGCAACTCTTCACTGCGTTATGCCAAGTATCATGGCTGATAGATGTTGTACTCTTAGGTGTGGACTCCCAATGTAATAACTCTTTGGGAAGCTTTGTTGACTGTGCTACAGTATGGATTACTGCTTACACATGCATACGCTCAAGATAAGCGATGGCCCTACTTGTCCCTTCCCATGTATGCTTGATTTCTCTCCTTTTTTCTATTTCTATTTCCTTTTTTTTTCTTGTGATGGTGGAAACAAGACAGGTTCTTTTGGAAATATGCTTCTAAATTCCATTCTGACTTTCCAGGGAAAGAACTCAGAGGCCAGAGGAATGGGTGCCACCTGAAACTTCTATATGCAAACAGGAATTTCAAGCCCATGAAAATGATCAGAGAAGCATTGTTGACATTTTCTCTATCCATGATAAAGATGAGAAAGGTAATAGTTAAATTGATTCATTTTTCAGTATGTTGTTTGGAAAATAGGCTGAACTGAAATGCTTCATATTCTTGCTCTAGTGAAAATTTATGATGGTAAGAATGTAATTGTTATTAGTTTCCAGAGGCCAGAAAGTTATGACTCAATAACTGAGATTTTGATAGAATTTGTACATGAGGCTTGTTGATTGGTTGTTTATTACAAGTGAAAATTGAAGGATGTAAGCCAAGGACGTTGCAAGAGAACCTCCCATCACAAAACAATATGATTTTGACACTACAGAGATGAATTTGTATTTTGGTGCTCCACTTACATTTGTACGGTTGATTTTCATTGTTCTACCAAATGCAAAATGCTCAAGAGTGGAATTGATGGGAGATTATTTTATTCATATTAGGAATCAGGAAGATGATGAAACTTTCAATTCAAAGAATGTTTCTGAGTTTTCTCGTTTGCTTATTGGAAGTTTTGTTACTCTTTTGTTGTGTAAGGTTAAGGTTACAAGTTTCATAGTTTATGCTAATCTTTTTTATAGATATTCATAAGAATCATGAGCATACCATTCCATTTTTTCCCCTTTGTTTGATGGGAAACCTCTCTCTTTTCTTGATGAAATTATAGTTTCTCATGGAAATAAATTGTATTAAAATTTATTGCAACCTTTTATATAACCTGCCTTTTTTTGAAAAGAAAAACCATTTTGCCTGCATATTGATATCTCTAACTTCTAGTGTATCATGAAGTTCCTGGACATGATGTCGGTGAATCCTCCCGTAGTAATTTTCTGGAGGATATGGATGAAAATGCAGACCACCCTCACGTGCTTACAATGTGGAAACAGCAGTTTCTGGATGCCCTTTCGGTAATGTCTTATATGCTTTTATGATATTCGATCATTTTCCATTGCCTACCAAGGAATTATGTACGCTTCATAATTGAATGCTGGTTACTACTATGGTTGGCCTTGTTGTCAAAGAAGCAAAGTATCTCTGCTTTTAAAGCTGTGAGTTTAAATTTCAGTTGTCATCTATTCTAAGAGTTTTCTTATACCAAGTTTTATAGGATAGCAATTATCCTGCGAGACAAGTCAAGAATTATGTATAAGCAATCCAAACACTAATTGTCATTCAGAAGCAAATTGTCAAATGTTCTTCAGACTTATTTAATAATTATTCTTAACTCATCCTTGCTATATGCGAGTGGGCATTGTTTATCCTCCTACATGAGCTGAAGAAATTTAACCAATTTTAAATTTCTATTTGGTGATTCCTTTTGACAGTTGAAAACTTCGGAATCAAAGAAGCAGTATAACATCTATTTACGACTTGCAAGATTATGCTGGCGGTTGCTTCTTGCTCCGTGGAGGCTTTTGTTTGCCTTTGTACCTCCTTATCACATTGCTCATGGATGGCTTGCCTTTATTTGCTCCCTTATTTTCATCAGTGGGATAGCTTATGTTGTCACTAAGCTCACAGATCTAATAAGCTGTGTCTCAGGTTCTCCTTACTGCCCCATATAAAAAATATGAACTTTCCTCTATTTTCGGTGAAGGCTATTATGACGCAATACTCAATAGCGTAGGAAATAATGCCTTCTCCTTTATGTCATTTTATTTTTCTCACAGGTGTTCTCTGATTTTTGTGTTACGCAGGAATAAATCCTTATGTCATAGCATTTACAGCATTGGCAAGTGGAACTTCTTGGCCAGATTTAGTGGCTAGTAAGATTGCTGCTGAGCGCCAGACGACCGCAGACTCTGCCATTGCAAACATTACTTGCAGGTAGGTTCGCTCCGAACTCCATTACTTTACCTTGTATTCTCTTGTATATGTAAATGTTTGTATGGAATAGTGTAGTGCTCGGTATGTCCCGACAAATCTGAACAGTAGGTTAAATTACAAAGTGTTAATCTCGATCCTTCTAAAAAGTTTCTAGGCCTTCGAATTTTAATTTTGTGCTGGTGTTGATTTGTATCCTCTCCTTTAAAAATGTTAACGTGTAGGTATCATGCTGATTCTGTTATTTAAATATTATGTGAGGGGGTTATTTCAGGCAGTTGGGATGTAAGCCTTATTTGATGTAGTGTGAACGGTAGAGATAAATTAGACAACGAAAATCTGAGGGCTTATTCCCTATTTTGGATTTTCTTAAGGAATATAGATGCAAAAAGACAGCCCTTAGAAGTTAGAAGTAGATGAACCGGACTGGAACCTTTCCAGTTTTTTTTTTCTTTCTTAAATCCTTATCTGTAATCATTGCCGGAGGGTTCTTCTTCCCATCATTTCTCATAATATGATATGTTGGTGAAAACTCTTGAATCTTAAAAATGGAAAAAGCCGTACATCTCTGCAAATTCGCATCTGATTTTGAAGAGAAATGGGAATATTGAAAGCAGTATGTGGATTAAAGGTCAATTGTATTGCTTGACAAATATGCAGCAATTCAGTGAACATATACGTGGGAATTGGAGTTCCATGGCTGATAAACACTGCATACAATTTCATAGCGTATAAAGAGCCCCTGAAGATAAAGGATGCTGCAGGCCTCAGCTTCTCATTGCTGGTGTTTTTTTCGACTTCGGTGGCATGCATTGCCGTGCTTGTGTTTAGGCGTCTAACATTAGGTGCAGAACTTGGAGGGCCAAGGCTTTGGGCTTGGATTACGTGCATCTTTTTTATGTTGCTTTGGCTCATCTTTGTGGTGCTGTCTTCTCTCAAGATTTCAGATATCATTTGAACCCAGTGATCTCTATTAGCCTTCCCCGTTCTGGATTATAGAAATATAGAGAACTCATTTCAATGCAACAATAGTCACAAGTTATTATTTTCTACCTTTTACACTAAAACTTAGTACAGCCATTTTCTCCAGAATACACCATAATTCTAATATTATTTATTATTATTATTTGTTTTATCATTGAAGTTGTATTTTTTTTTTTTCGATTGAATTATATTTGAATCAAAAGTTTTGCCTTAGATGACATTTATGTCGTACTATGAAGAAATAACCAAAGTTTATGAGTATATGCTTTGATAGGAAGAACATATACGAGAAGTAATTCCCTATAAATTTCTATTGAAAATCTTCACCCCATCTCCAATTTCGTTCATGAAGATTTTAATAACAAAAACAAAAAATCAATCCTACCCATGGTGGCTCAACCAGCAATATCTAATTTATGAGCACATCTGAGTTTTCAGTGAGAACCAGCAATATGAAAGTGGTGCTATTGTTGATTTAGTACAGGAAGTGCTGCTGGACGTGTTCTAACAACGTTGAGCACTCCTCTTGCAGTGGCCTGTAGTAGAACAAAAATGATACATCATTCAACTAAAAGCATACACGAAAACGCTTCTTGAATATCCAAGCTATTCAGGGTTCCACTCCTTAAATTATACTCATATAATCTATCCCAAGAATCTCTAAGGAGGCTTCACCCAATCCGAGCCTAGCTCGAGAAGAAAACTAAGGTTTCATGTTATTAAGTTATCGACGAGGTGTATTTCTAAATATCTTGGATGCCTAACTACCAAGCCCTTCAAGAGTTGAAAATAAAAATAAAGAAAAGAGAGACTTTTTACCTCGAAGAAGGAATTGAAATTCAAACGCATCAAGAAACGTCTCAGGAACGGAGCCCTTTGACTCCCAACCAGCCTGCTACTTCGCAAAATCGTGTATAAGGAGTTTGATTTCTTGTTGAATTCCTAGAATCAAATGTAATGGTAACACATAATAAGACATCTATACATTTTAGGAATTAATCAAGAGCTATGAAATAAAATTCTCTGTAAAACTATATGCTACACCTCAGTTAGGTGCTCCAGTTCAGAAGGGTCTGAACTTTTGTTTTGATTTTCTATACTCCAGCAAAACTGTAGGCAAAGCTTCATTATGCCATCCAGTATCCTCGAAACCGAACCGATATCCAAAAATGACTGTGAAATTAAAGCAGATAAGTACCTGCACCAGGTGCTTAAATGCATTAGCAGAAGTTTTCAATTTATGACAACAGATTATCTCAGAAGCCTCCGAAGATCAGCTCATCAAAAACCAACTGATCAAAATGTTTTAAAAGCAAAGATGGTGAAGACAAGCTGTTATAGACAAATCATTAAGAAAACCATATAAAATCAGTCATTATACATACTCTTGATGAAATCCCACAAGCTCCGTAAAATCATGAGAATCTTGGATACGATCTTGCAAAATATTCCATTGAGATTCAATCACGTCGACCTAGATGACAAATAACGAACTTATTTACAAATAATGAGTGATATTTCAAGTGCATGACATTGAAGTCAATAGGAGGTATTAAATCTGACCTGGATATAAAACTGAAGATTCCTGATCAAGAATGCCATGTGTTCTCTTACACGCCACATCTGTCTAAAATGTTGCCTTTGCTGTGGAGATATCGAACCATCAAATCGAGCATTGCGATTTTTAGAAAAATCAGCATGATCTTGGTGCATGAGGGATGCCCATGATTTCTCCAATTCCATTTGCGTTCGCTTCAGCCGCAATAAATATTGGAAGACCCTGCAATACCTGAATCATTCATCTTGTCAACAGTTGAAAGATGCAGCAAGTCTATGTTAATAAGAACGTATTCGATAAATCTCAATTTGTTTATGAATGGTTTTGGCTTAGCCAAAGGGATTCATAAGCTCCCCACTCTCCCAAGAGCACACAAAATACGAGTTTACAATGGATACTCAAAAAAACATGCCTCTGCTTCCATTGTAAGCACTTTTAAACCCCTGAAAATAATGATATTCTCTCGTCGTAATCTATGCGTTTGTTTAAAAGAAAATGGGACGACTAAAAGATTCATAGTAACTTAAGCCCCTTTTGTCTCTTGGAGCTCGCCTTGGGAAGTAGTGGACCCTTAAGACTCCTATTATTCAAAAAGAAAAAGATAACATTCAATGCTTACTTAGAGAGCACTTCTTGAGTAAAGAATAACTGCAGGGGCCAATCAATATAGTATTCAAGAGCAACACCATTCCAGCCATCAAGAGACATATCTGAAGATAAATTTGATAGAGCACCCCCGGGATTACCATCGGTGTAAGGTTTTTCCTTCGGGTCTCCTTGGGCAGACTTGACCTTGACTCCAAACAATGGCATCCTAGTAGAAGTGAAAAGGATTACCATAGGCACAATTAAAAGCTAAGTTGGTTCCCCATTATATGTCCATATAAATGTGTGTGTATATATAGGTATATATATAATTAGAATTGGAATAAATTTAGCATCAACTTACCGCAATGATACTCTCGAAAAGTATCTGTCTTCATCACTTGTAGTCTTTGTTGCAGCCTGCATGGTGTATGTGAATTATGGAGACAAAGTTTATGCAATCACATAAATAATGAAGAGAACAAATCATCTTGCACAAGAAAAATTACCAACTGAAATGGGATCATAAGATCAGCTTCAGCAGTCGACTGGCGAGGGGGTAGACGCATCAAATGGCAACTTTCCTCAAGAAAACACTAGAATAACCAATCATCCTATCAGCATAATATAATATGAAGTAACAATAAGGAATGTTCTAACACCAGTAAGCTCAAACAACAAAAGATATTGGTCTTCTAGCATATTTTATATTACGGTAAAATCAAGCAAAGGATATAGAATATGAACACATGAATACAACAAAGACATGGGAACAAATGTGGAGATGACATCTCAGTTAAAGTTTCTTCTTAATGACTACCGAAACCGGGAACCAGTCTTCTACAACATATATACGAACAATTATATTTTCATATCGCATATAAAAGATACTTGAAGAATAAACTAAAGAACTTAAATTCATATTAGTCCATCTCTTACCTGGAAGAAATCACCTTTTGCTAAAAGGAAATAGTCTTTTAAGGCCTTGAGGTGTCCATTCAGGTCAGCACGCACAACTACAAGCTGCCGAGATATGTTAGCGAATCATAAAAGGATGAAATAAAAGGTAGAACTACATGTTCCACAATCAGAACCTGCCAGAGATGACTAGCCGCAATAGCCCTAATTGAATCAATAGCAGACTCAAATGATCTCTTATGAAACTCAGATGATTCCTGTACATAATGAAAGGCCATTTCTCTAAGTACGGATGTTATGATAGGCAGATAGGAAACAAATTTAAGCCAATCCATGTTCCAGTGGTAATCTAATCGACATTATTGTCTAAACCTTGAGATCTAAAAGCATGGCTTCTATCTTATCAGCTTCAGATTGCAGAAGCAATTCTTCTCCAGTCAACTTTGTGGCGAAAAAAGGTTCCTTTTGAAGGGGAAAGTTTCTTGTTGTTCCTTTAATCTTCAGTGGTAATCTAGGCATATGTGAATGTGATTGGTTTCCAGCACCCTGACACCAAAAGGCGTTGCTTGGGTTCCGAAGAACTCTAATGGCTTTACCAGCAAAAAGAATTGATTCTGCAACCTTCATATGAATATAATCAGGAAGCATATCCTGAAAGCAAAGCGAAAAAGGAAAAGATCGGTTAGCAATTATGTTCAGATTCAAACACCTGTTCAAAACACGATGTGTCAACAATTATTAGTGCACTTCAACAGAATTTAAAAGGACCATCAGAAGAGCCTTGTGAGGTTATTAGTCTATGTGCATGCAAGATGACCCAAAAACTCATAGATATTAGAAGAAAAAGGGCCGAAGTAAGCAAGCATTGAAGTAATATGTGAGAATATGGTATGTATCATATAGAATGAGGATGAAAGAAAGTTAATAAGTGAACAAAACTCTGGAGTCGAGACTAAACCAATGGATTATCACAAGAGGAATAATGTCATCTCACTCAAAAAAGGGAGAGGGGGAGCGAGAGAAGAAACAACCAAATAGACATCACAAGAAAAATGGAGATGAAAAACCAGTCAAGATGAGCCCATGATAAATTACAAAGATGTCGAAAATGCCATTGAAATTCAGTTCAAATCTAAGTTACTACATGAAGAACGCAGTGATCATTGAATAAGAAAACTGTAGTATCGGTAGAAGGCGTGGCAATCAATGTACCAGATAAATGTGAAATCCTAGGTGCCAATCAGTCAAAGATTCATCAGTCGATAAGCGTCCTAACTTTTCTGACAGAACTTGTACAGCTGAGCCTTGATCAGTCTCCCTGTCATCCTGCCTGAGCAATTCGATGATCATAAAATTACTCATGCATTTCTAGATTGTAAAAAATTATCAAATGTATACAAAAGAATGTGAACAAGAAAAATTAAATCAAGATTGACCATATATCACTTATTCTCTCTAGACAACGGTTTCTTAGTCCGAGACAATATATTTACAATCTAACCCATGTTTGCTATAATAAGATACAACAATTCTTAGAGTTACCTTCTGATGAAAAATTCTCCATGCTTATCTTGAAGGATCCCATAAACCATCCATGATGCTAGTTGATTGTACATTACCTGATGACCATGCCAAAGGAGCCTATTCTTTTGGCAGAGGGAAAGATGGGAAAAAAGAAGAGACAAAATAAAATTTTAACAGATTAAGCTTTTCCAATAAAATGTAGCTAGCAAACTAATCTTGCCACATGATCTACAATGAAGAATGAACAATTTAGATGAATATAGGATATGGAAAGCAAGGCCTCGGATTCAGGAAGAGACTTGAATACCTCTGAATGCAAGTCTGCAATTCAGGCACACCACAGTGACAACGTTTGTGAAGAAGATTGAGTAATTGGCCGCCTCGAATATCGTCACGCTCGATCTCAAGAACGAGTTGATGCAGAGGTGGAAAAAGAACAAAGAACTATAAAATACAATCAGTAAACAAGTCAAATCCATGGCATCATCTTACAATCATTGGACAACAAAATTAGGTACAGAACAAAGGGCATCATCCATCATCTTAGAACCAACCTTATCGAGGCCCTGGGTGACTATTGCCAAAATTGGCACCGTTTCAGACAACAGTTTCTGCTCCACATGAAGAACAGCAGATCTATAAACAGACAGTATCTCTACGATGCCATTAGCAATGGCCCTCCTATACACACTTGGGATTTCAGTTTTATCTTTAGACGACTCCACAGAATTGGGTAAAGAAGACCCATGACTAGAACGAATCCAACTCAAATTTCTAGACTTAGTAGCAAAGCGGTCGAGTTCTCTGTAGTAAAATCCTAACACGACGATCCTCTGAATTAAGTCCCTGAATCGGAATATAGAAAACCATCATCAACAAATTGTATAAAAGAACAGAATTGAAGTGGGTTGTGGGCGTACCTTTCGCTGAGTTCGAGAAAGGAGATATCGGGGGCTAGCTTGAACGTGGGCTCGCCGGAGATGGGGGCATCGGGAGGTAAATGATTTAACCCTAGAAGATTGAAATGCTCTCTTTCGTCGATTATCAGATCGCCGGTGTAACCCAGTAGAGCAAGTAGAAGTTCATGTAGCATTTTTGGTCTTTCACTCTGGAATTGCGAAACGAAGTAGCAGAGGAAATGAGGAAAGCATCACAGAGAGGTGCACTCCGAGGTGAGAAGAGAGAAATTTGGGGGTTTTTCGAGGTTGGCAATGCCGGAAATGCTCAAGCTTTACAGAATTTTCAGTGAGCTTCAGAAACCAATTCAACTTTCAGATTGGAGTGGAGGGTTTTAGCAAATTGAAACTTCAAAATTCTCATTTAAATTCTTTTTTATAAAACCATTATTTTTGTTTGAAAAATGAAAGAACTTAGCGTTTTCGCGGGACCCTAACAAGTAATTTCCATCAATATTTTTTTTTTTTCTTTTCAAAATTACAAAATTAGTCTCACAACTTTAAAATTTTATATTTTTTAATCTATTTATTTCAAATTTTAGTAAAATAGATTCATATGCATACAAATATAAAGTTCCATCGATAATAACATCCAAATTTATATTTAATTGATTAATTATATTTAAATTATCTTAAATTATATATGATATATTAAACCAGGAATTAAAGATTCTAGAGACTAAATACATACCTAACTAACATTTTTTTATAGTTAAAATTTTGAAATAATAATTTTAAAAAATAATAAATATTTTATCAATAAATAAAACAGACATAAATCATCGACAAAATAATTAGAAGTTCAAATTCTTATCTTATTCGTGTTCATGTTGAACTAATAAACAATTATTACCCCACGTTAATAATTATCTAATTGTCTCATGCCTAACTAAATAAATAGAAAAAATAGATGAAGAATAAAATATCAAAAATAACAAAATACAAGTAATATATAGTAATAATAAATAATTTTTTAAAAAAATTATTTATTTTTTTATTCTCGATAATTATGAAAAACTTGTAAAAAAACTTATAGAAATAATAAATAACTTTTTTAAATAATATTTTAATATATTTTTTACATAAAAAATATACATTATAAAATGGAAGATACTTTCCCATATACCCCCTCCTCTTGGTAATGGTGGGGCCATAATGACATTTCACTCCACATTCCATGGAGATGGCTAAGCCACCTTCAATGCGGGTAATGATCTTGTTCACTACAAAACGCACACTATCAGACGAAAACGGATGAAGGTTTCGAGATTACTCACCATGCCGGCCGTTGATCTTGGAGTTGAAGGAAGCTCTTCTGCAATTCCCGATAGTTGTTAGAGAAATCGAGACAGAGAGCTGCCATGGACGCGATCGAACACACCACCATCAACACCAATGGAATCAAAATGCACATCGCCTCCATAGGCACAGGCCCCGTCGTTCTTCTTCTCCACGGCTTCCCCGAGCTCTGGTACTCATGGCGCCACCAGCTTCTCTACCTTTCTTCCGTCGGATATCGAGCCATCGCGCCGGACCTCCGCGGGTATGGCGATACCGAGTCCCCGGAATTGCATACTTCCTACACTGTGCTCCATATCGTCGGCGATTTGGTTGGGGCTTTGGATGAGCTTGGGATTGAGAAGGTGTTTCTTGTAGGGCACGATTGGGGGGCGATCATCGCGTGGTACTTTTGCCTGTTTAGACCAGATAGAATCAAGGCGTTGGTGAATCTGAGCGTCCAGTTCATACCTAGGAACCCTGCAATTCCTTTTGTTGAGGGTTTCAGATCTGCGTTTGGTGATGACTTCTACATTTGCAGGTTTCAGGTGAATATAATTTGTATTAGTTGCTTATAATTAGAGGGTTAATTATAAGATTGGTCTAGCTCATGACTGTTTAGCTTTCTTCGTTAAGATTACAAATTTATATGTTTGTGTATACCAACTATTGGGCCTTCACCCTTATATAATAAGAACGAGTTGTTTCTCTTTACAACCATTGTAAGATCTCACACCGGCCTGTTATTTATAGGCGTCAGTCTTCACTCTTATAAAAAATGCTTCAAATGCTTCGTTCCCTCTCCAAACAATGTGAGATTGAGATCTCACAATCCATCCCCTGAGTTAAGCTAATAGAGAGAGAGATTGTACAATCCATACCCTAACGGCCTAGCTACTGGAGAGATTTCCACACTCTTTTAGCTTCATTTCTCTCTACAATCGATGTGGAATCTTATTATCCATCCCTTTGGAGTTCAACTAATAGGGAGAGATTTTCACACTTTTATAAAGAATACTTCGTTCTCCTCGATAATCAACGTGGGATCTCACAATCTATCTCCTTGTACATTATCCATCCCTTTGGGGTCCAACTAATAGGGAGAGATTTTCACACTATTATAAAGAATACTTCGTTCTCTTCGTTAATCAATGTGGGATCTCACAATCTATCCCCTTGGGGCACATTGCTCGGTGTCTGGCTCTGATACCATTTGTAACGGGTCTACTTTGTCCCATATCGCTGTTAGACTCACGATTTTAAAGTGAGTCTACTAAGGAGAGATTCTCATAAGAAATGCTTCATCTCCTCTCCAACCAATGTGATTCTCTTTAATTTGTTAAGTTGTACTTATTTAGAGAGTCCCATTTGATTGAATCACCAGAAAGTTTCACGTTCATATAAACAGCAGAAACTAAAATGAATTGGTTCCTAACAGGTTCCAGGAGAGGCTGAAGAAGATTTTGCCTCCATTGACACAGCTGAGTTATTTAAGAAATTTCTCTGTAGTAGAAGATCAGATCCTCCAGAACTGCCTAAAGGGGTTGGAGTTCGTTCTATCCCATCCCCAGAAAAACTTCCTTCTTGGCTGACAGAAGAAGATATCAACTATTTTGCTACCATTTTCAAGCGGACAGGCTTTACTGGAGGATTGAACTACTACAGAGCCTTCGACCTGTAAGTCGTAGATTTAGCCATTCAGATTGCTCTGTTCTTATTAGTTCAATCCAATTGTTCCATGCTTTTCAAGTTCAAATCATGTTTTTTTGTTGCAGAACTTGGGAGCTGACTGCATCATGGACAAAGGCACAGGTTCGAGTGCCGGTGAAGTTCATCGTCGGGGATTTGGATCTGACCTACCAGTTTCCAGGAGCTAAGGAATATATCCACAATGGGGGATTCAAGAAGGATGTGCCGTTTCTGGAGGAAGTGATATTAATGAAAGATACTGCTCACTTCATCAACCAAGAAAGGCCACATGAAATCAGTACTCACATCCATGACTTTATCAAGAAATTTTGAACTCCATCCATTCTCCATTGCTTGAATTGTTCTTTCTTTTTTCAGCGACTTTGAGTAAAGGATAATTTTCATCACATATATGTAGCCGTTTGCATAAAGGCTATAAGGTCGTTGCATTCATGGAGGATCAACTATATGGGTTTCGTCGAAGAATAGGAAAAGATGACTACTACGACACCATCTAATGCCCTCTTACCTCCCTCGCTCTCAAAACTCCTCTCCAATGAGACTGGCCACTTGAGGATGTGTTGAATTCAAGTCAATCATGTCTGTTGATTTCTTTAAGGTTAACTTTAAAATGAGTTCTAATCATCTTTGAACCTTCTCATCCATCTTTCGAACTATGTGAAATTACGAGTTCATGTCAAAGCTTAACGGGATATCACAAGATACTTCCATTTTATTACGAGAAAAGGCCTACATCCAAGTTTCATAAGCTTTGGGTCCACTGTTCTGATCGTCGTTTTCCTACTCCCAACAGAAGCCATCAGAAACACAAGGGTGCCGAAGCCTATAGGGCCAATCTAATCTCACATATCTAATCACTTTTCACAGTTATTTTGATTCATATGCTTAAATAAATGTTTTGTTCATACAAACTTTTTTTCTTCCAGCCAACTCTCATTCTCCAATATAACAAATACATAATCTACAATATCAACCATACTCAAACTCGCTATGTTGTAAAAGTAAAATTCTGCTACACCTAAGGCTCGAGTAATCGACATACTAGACAAAATTCAGTTCAAGAATTAAGCTGAACTTACTGGATTTCTCCCTCTAACACTTCAGCACCAGCTCATGTGCTTGCACGGTGGAATTGTTGTAATCTTGTACCGGTAGAGCTTGCTGTTCAGTAAAATAAAGTCTGTACCAAATTAGATCTCAACATTATCAGCACTTCAATCTCTTAATTATAACGGCTTTCCGTCTGTTTTATAGCACAACTAGAAGGAAATACTACTATGAAAATGAGAACAAAATGTGATGATGAATATCTAACTTTACAACGAGTTCACGGCTAATCATGGCAACCACTGTGATCCCGCTGTGATCATGTGATCTGAGATCTCTTCTATTCCTGGTTAAGAGAACTGATCTGATAATATCATACAAGTCACGGCCGAGTAGAATTTCCAGCCAGAACGAGATGACCATATCTTACAAATAATCTCCTGTACTGAGCATCAAATAATAGCGCCCTTCCATACAGTGAAGAACGAGATTAATATCCTATTTCTTCGCGTAGGTTATCAACATTGAATTTTGTGGATTCATCTTAAAACCTTGGAGTGCTTGCATGGCTACTGTCGATTGTACCTCATCACCATACTCTACAAATGCAATACCTGGCTTTGCTTCGACCATACGGACCTCCTTAAAACCAGGATACTGACAGAAAAGCATTTGTAGCATCGTTGGAGTTGTCTCTTGGGGAAGATTTTGTATAAACAAAATGCTATTGGGCGGGGCAGGTGCTTCTGGTACCATAACTCCGCCTGGATAAGGTACTTGAGAGTGCTGAACCATTTTCAGAAGGGGGGAAGGAAAGAGAAACTGTGCGTTAGTAACATATAAATTCCAATAAATAAACATAATTAAGTATCAAAATTATTCATACGATGAATGTCAACCAAGATTTGCCGCTTTAAAACTCTCAGTCAATAGATAAACGACATACAAGAATACATCTACTCATGAAGACATCACCAACTAAGTCCCAGAAATTAAAGCGTTGAATCATTTGGCAAAGGCTTCTTTAACAATCATGACATTGTGATATATGAAATGAAAAAAAGAAATAAATGCAAATAACCCCCACGGTACGTTTCTTCGTTCTCTCTCTCTCTCTATATATATATATCTTTCTCTCTCTGTGCAATGAAATAAAGAGGCAGATAAAATCCAAATGAATAACTAAAAATAACAATGAACTTTCACTACCCAGGTGGAGGGAGTAAGAGAATGAAGTGTTTCCTATTGCATAGAATAACATACAAATTACTGAAAAGAGTGAGAAATGAGAATGGAAGAGAGAGCATCATTCTTAGTAAGCAAAATTAGCCTCGAGAAGTGAAGTTCTACCTCTTATTACTTGTCCTTTATGATTTTATAGTTTACAATCATGTCAGTGAAACACTTGGAATACATGTTTTAACAACAGATGAACATAATATCCTAAACTGACTTTGTGGGAGAATCAACTATGCAAGTTAGTGAAGGCTCAAATAGAAAATAAAGAATTTTTCAAAACCTAATGTTTAGGTATTAAATAGAGATACTTACCCCTGTTGCGCCATATGCTCCAGAAAAAGCAGGATTCAGACCCATCCCAGCTTGATTAGTATCATGCTGCTCTTTCTTCTTCCTCCCTACCACATCAAGAGAATGGACAAATCTTTGATTAAACACTGCTACATAAGCAATAGGACAACACGTTCCTTCACTTTCTTGAATTGTCAAATAGAAAATAAAGACAAATATACCCTTTTCCCCGTGCCTCTTTCGTTTCTCCCGGGGAACAAATGTACCATCAGACTTTGCAATTATATCTGATTTTGTCTTTGCATATTGGATCCTCTACACCATTGCAAAACAACATCACTTAGTTTTGTATTACACCACACTCCCACAAAATATTAGTCCAGCTAACAAAAGATGAATAATAGACCAGAGGAATAAATGATATATAAAGTTGTCTGCACTTTATACCATGGAAAAAGATATAAAGCCTATGACACATTTTCATATATGCAAAGAAAATATGGGCATTAGCCACCAGATTTACAAACAAGAAATGCTCAACAAATATAGAACTTTCAAAAGATTTGCTGAAGCCCCATTTGACAACCACTTGATGTGGTTGAAAATATTAAGAACCAATGCCATAAAGCACAGGTCGATAAATTCAAACGCCTACAATGGATATATTTAAGAAGTATACACTTCAAGATCCAAGTTTCAGGGCATATTCTGTTACATGCTTGATCATCAAAGAATAATTGTTCTTTAGCTTCGTCGAAATGATATCAGCTATCCAAATCCAAGCAGACCAGGCCATCAGTTTGGCAATAATCAGCAAAACCACATTATTTACGAGCCATATGTGACTAAATCTCAACTGTCTAATAAGATAAGACGCAATATAATCCAAACACAATTCCAATTCGCAGCTCAGAAGAATATATTGGCACTTTCCCATTCGCCACTGTGATTTTTATTACATTAATTAAGTGTTCATTCGAACGATAACGATATTTTCACAGCAACACTTATTTGGTCTTCATCTTAACTTCGAATTTAACAAACAACATAAAATTCTCGCAGTTGAAAAGGCTAAGAAGCACATTACCATAGGCTTATCATAGAAAGGAAAGCCCTGCATTTGTCTAATCGCATTAGTGGCAGAAGAGACTTCTTCGAACACAACCCAAGCCTGCCCCTTGTGCTTCAAGGTCTTGAAAGCCAACACTTCCAGAATTTTCCCGAACTGCGAGAACACCGCGTTCAGCGACTTCTTTAATTCTGCTCCACCAAGGAGTAAACAGTAAAAAACACAGCATAATTCAGATCATTAAAGAAGCTCCCCCATCCCCCTCGCCTCAAGAATACCTTCCAGCTTGATTTTCTCGTTCAGATTGTTAATGTAGATGGTCATGTTCGAAGGAACTTCATTGCCAGTGCTGTTGACCTCCGCCATTTCTTTCACCTCCGTCCACCGAATAGATATGCTCAAATGGAAAAGCTAAGGAGGTCGAAAAGGAAGCAACGACGGTCGACCACGGAGAACGACGGCTTGATCCGATACATGCAATGTCACTCCGCTCGCAGGGGTCTGGTCGGTCCGAAAGCCCTAACTACGGATGAAGAAGAAGACGGAGTGGCCTGCCAGCTATTGTGGGCTTAAATTGTTCGGGCTTCCCCTTATTGGGCTTTCGTTTTTTGGGCCTACAGTTAACCTGACACCCGACAGAAAAATGAATTTTAACGGTTGTTCCTTATTTAAAAATAAATAAATAAATGTTTCACTCATATTCATTATTGAATAAGAATTATTTAAATTAAAAAAACTTAAAACTCGAATAATTAAATTGAGTCTTAAAAATTATCAACCCGACCCAATTCCTAGTTTTTAGATTTTAAAATTGAGTCATTGAAAATAATCAATTTTAAATTATGTTTTAAATTAAATTATAATTGACATGTCACCAATCCACCTCCGAAGATGATGGTCTAGTCAGCATTTCATTGAGTCGAAAACTCTTTAGAATTATTTTGCATACATTAATGACTCGGACTCTAAATTCGGAGTTAAAAAATACATTTTGATGTTACTATCATTATTATTTTAAAAATTGTCATAATAACTTCCTTAACGACAAATTTTGTAAACTATAGAAAAGGAAATATTCTTTAAAGAAAAAAAAGACAAAAATTCGAAATTAAAAAAATAAAAACGGAAAATTAAAAATCTTACGTGTAATAAAATTTGTGATTTATTGTAATAACTACATGAAGGACAAAATGGAAAGGGAAATAAAACAAATTAGGAAAAGGAATATATTAAAATTGGAAATAAATATTTTGTAAATTTAATTTGAATTCTATTTTCCATGTCACTTCCTCCTATTTCCTAATATTCCTTCTCCTATATAATTCTCAAATTTTTATCTTCCCCATGGCTCGCTTCTTCTCCGGCGTCAAGATCACCTCCGGTCTCGTTTCCGATGGACTTTCTAACGCTCTCATCAGGTATTTCTTATATACATACATACATACATATACGCAACGACTCACTTTGTGGTTATTCAATTATGGTTTTCACTTTGCACTTAGGCGTGGATATACGGCGGAAGCAATGGCGGCGTCACAAAGAGCGGCGAGGGATGACGGAATGATGAAGAAGGAGGAACAAGCAGAAAGGAGTAGAGAGAAGGTGGCGTGGGTTCCAGACCCGGTCACCGGCTACTACCGGCCCGAGAACTACTCCGATGAGATCGACGCTGTCGATCTTCGTGCTATGATGATGTTGCAGCGAAGAAGAAAATTTATTGAACAAAATGAATAAATTTGGATGTGCCAAGAAGATTATTTACTCTCTTTTTTTAAAAAAATAAATTGGATTTTCGATCTAATTTTTAAATAAAAAATATAAATTTCATTAGGTCTTATTCGTGGTGTAGTGCTTTGTTATGTTGTTGATTAGAGAGGACTATTAGAACAATGTAAACCATGTATAGTTCTACTGCTCGTGCACACTCTGACCTCGACCGCTTTATCTAGCCTTCATCTGAAAAACACAAGTAGCTTGTTGGTAGGTTCTTAGTTCATTCTAAAATCTTGTCTCATTAGTTCGCTGGTTCATTTGGTGTCTTATTCATAGTTAAAAGTCATTAGTTACATCTTGAATTGTTATATACTAGTCTCTTTCATCATTGTTATCGTATAAATCATAGGTATTCAAGGTGTGACCTTGCCATAGGTTCCAATTCATATTTCGTATCATACGGTAGTGGACAATATTCTCAAATTCTCTAGCAGAGTTTAGTAAGCATCTCCTTCATAGCCCTCCTAACGTAAAAATCATGGAGGAAGGGGGTGACACTCATGCTTTGCCAACGCTCGATCTACATTCATACATTTCATGACTCAACCATAATTTTACATACTTATAATCATAAAGGTACAACTGTACACTTTTACCGGTCAGAGAATTAGAAATCAATCGATAAATCCCTAATAATTTTCAATAGAACAAGATTGGACCGGTCGTCCCCTACTTCCAACCAGTATCCCCTTTGAGTGCGTTCTTCCGCCATTCATTTTTCTTTGCTTGGTTCTCATGCATATGTTCCCATCCCAATATCTCCTCGAAAAGAAAGATTTAGAAATAATGTATCGACCCTAGATTTCTACTTAAGCTAAAGTCGTTACTATATACATAATGCAATCATTTTAGGTGGAAATGATCATTTGAAACTTTATCATAAGATTTACGTGTTCAAAAATATCTTTAATGCACAACGAAATACTAAATAAAATAAATAAACATTAAAAGTATAAACATTCTATCCTAACCTAAATTCTAATAAATTAAATACAACTATCTTATGCATGTGTCATGGTCTCGACTTAAATAAACATTAAAAGTAATATCCTATTCTAACCTAAAGTATAAGAAATTAAATATAATTATCTTATGCATGTGTCATGGTCTTGACTTGTGATATAGTCGTCAGCCGTAAACTATCCTACACTATTAAGATTAGATACAAACACATACAATCATGAATGAAGCCTATCATTTTAATCTCTATCCGTGTAGGTGGATCATACACTATTTGGGGTTAGATGTAAGCACTATCCTACACTATTGGGATTAGATGCAAACATATAGAGTATGGATCCACCAAACGGTTTGCACACCTCTTGGGCTCCTTACTTAGTCGATGATAGCTAACATTCTCTAGTGCTATTGCCGGAGTTGCAGTATTATGATAAACATAATGATCATTTTTCTACCTCATACCGTACGTGTCTATACCATCGTAAAAGGAAGATTTCTTGATGCATGTAACATACAATGATTCATGAGATCCAAACATTTTTATTCATTAAATCAGGTAAAACAACCCTTCAATTTTCCTTCATATCATATCATTTTACAAAAAAAACCTCTAAGACATGTATTGGGATTGAATATCATATCATTCATATTATACATCGTCATATGTCATTTCATACACATAACATGTCCTGGCATATCATATTTATCATACACGTATCAAACTATAAATCATGTCACAACATGTATTTATCGTCAAACGTGTTACACCATAACATATATCGTATTATCAACACATCACATCACAACATGTATCATAGTCGTATCATATCACAGACACATCATAATCATATCATTATATAAACATATTATAGACATCATTTCACAAGCGTATTATAGACATATCATTTCAAAAATTTATCATAGTCACATGTTTTCATAAATATTTCACACACGTCAAACATATGACCCATACAGAACACACGCCGCCGTTATACAAATATCAATATCTAACGATATCAAAGTATTAGAATATTTATATGTTCTTTTCTTTTATTCACAATCTTCCCTCTCTTTTCTCTATGTTTTTTTAATTGATTAATTAATTAATTTTACTTTATTTATCATTCTTTTTAATGCGGTTGTTACAGATAAAGTGAAATACAGGTTGTTAGAAATAAAGTGAAGTAAGGGAGATTGGATGAAACAAAGTTTGATTAAGACAACACGTGAAACGTGTTCACTGCTTTCACACCTCCTCAGTCCTTTTTCCCATTCCTTCAAGAAATTGATTTAATGTTTTTTTTCCTCAAATATTGGCAATGATAATAAATAAATAAATGTATGATATAAAACAAATTGATGCCTGAATTTTATTAATTAACTTGATGGATGATTTTTAAACTTCCATTTATTTAATTTTTATTTTGTGCATAATAGGGTTTTGACAATTTTGAAATTAATTAATTTAAATTTAGAGACAAAAAGACTAAATAGAATTAATGTTCGGAATTCAAAGAGTAACTTGTGTAATTTAACTTATTTTAGGGATGAAATTGATAAGATAGGGAAACTGGATGTGAAAATGATATTGCTATGGCAGTGCTGCCATTGATAGGATAAGAAGCAGAGGAGATGAGTATCCAACAAGAAATCAGAATTTGTTGATGAAATCATAGATATGGGCGCTTATTTCGTCTGCTTTTTCTTGGTTGATGAAGTGCGCTGCGCCTTCCATCACTACCACTTCTTCCAGAAGTGGTACGTCCTTCTTGAATCCGCCGCCGTGGATGTACTGCTTCGCACCTGGCAAATGATACACCATATCCACATCTCCCACTACGAATTTTGTAGGAACTTTGATCTTCGCTCCACTCCATGGCCCTGTAAGCTCCCAGGTTCTGCAATCATTCAGCAAAAACACAATATCGGTTTCTTGGACCAAGAAAAACAAGAACAGAGAAATCTATTTCATCTAGCAAAATTTGTGAATTCACACTGCTCAATAGCACGATAGTAGTTGAATCCGCCGGTGAAGCCAGTTTTCGTGAATTTGGAGGCGAAGTAATCGATATCCTCCTCCGTTAACCACGGCGGTAAGGATTCTGGAGTCTTCAGTGTTTTGAATCCATTAGGTATAATCGGAGGGCTTGGATCTCTAATCGTCAGGAATTTCTTCATCATCGTAGCCGTATCCACTGATCCAAAATCGGCTTCAGCCACTCCAGGTTTCTAAACCAAATCTCACAATTAGCGATTCATCACTTAACCTAATGCGACCGATTCATTCAATTTCACGAACCACAAAACACTGCGAACATTCAATCGATTTTACCTGAAATTTACAAATGTAAAAATCGTCGCCGAGGAATTGCCTGGTACGGCTGAGAGGCGAGATTGCCGGATTCCGAGGAGTATAATGGACACTCAAATTGACCAAAGCTTTGACTCGATCGGGCCTGAAGAGGCAAAAGTACCAAGCCATCATCGCGCCCCAATCGTGGCCTACCAAGAAAACTTGATCGATTCCGAGATGATCGAGGAGGCCGATGAGGTCTCCGATGATGTGGAAAGGTGTATAGGAGGAGGGAGACGGTGGCACGTCGGAGTCGCCGAAGCCGCGGAGGTCCGGGGCTATGGCTCGGAAGCCCTTGGAGGCGAGAAAGAGGAGCTGGTGGCGCCATGAGTACCATAGCTCGGGGAAGCCGTGGAGGAATAAGACCGGCGGACCGGAGCCGATGAAAGCGACGTGCATGTTGATGCCATTGGTGGCGATGGTGGAGTGCTCGATTTGCTCCATTGATGGCTTTCGTTTTGTTGCTTCTCCACCGTGCTTCTCTCTGCCTCTCTGCCTCTCTGCATTCGGTATAAATAGACAGTTTCGGGGACATAGCCACGGCTTATCCCCCACACTTAAAAAAAAAAAAAATTATAATTATAATAATTATTATTATTTTAAATTTCCAATTAAGGATATTTAATCCTCTAATATACTTTACATATAAGTTATCTGTATTATTACTTTTATATAAATTTATTACTCTTTATGGTTCTTTTCTTATATTTTGTAATTTATTTGATATTAATATTATAAATAGAGGATTTTGGCAAATATTATCTAACAACTAAAATATATTCGGAAAAGAAAAAAAAAAAACAAAAGAATGAAGAAAAATATATCCTTTTTAAGGTAACCTACTCTCAACTCCATGATATTTTTGTTGTTTGAACTTAACGTGAAATATAGAATCAAAATTTTTAATTATATTATACAAAAAGCAAAGAAATATAAAATTTTATATATATATATATATATATATATATATAAAACACTAACTTCCAGAAACATTCCCTTATTCCAATTAATGAAAGGGTGGTTTTCATAATGACATTTTTCTACTAGTAATATAAATTATGTAGGGATATTTATTCCGGCATTTTCTTTTATCTCATGCGACATGGTCACGTTCCTTAATTATTGATTTTAAGAGTGAAAAATATCCCCACATAACTTACTAGCCTGCATCTTAGGAAAATTCGAGTAAGTCACCCATCATAAAATTACTCTAAATAAAACATCCTTAAATTTGAATTTTCTATGATTGAGTTACCGAAAAACAATATATTTTTTGATGGTGAAAGTATTAAATTTCATTTCTTTTAAGTCTTTTCAAGTCATTCTCTTTTCATGATCGCTCTCTTTCATATATGATCTGAATTCATTTATGTAACTCTCTTTTCTTTAGACGTCACCCGTTCAAGATGAAATAAGATAAAGAAGTTACCAAAAAAAAAAAAAAAAAGAATTTGAAAAGTTAAATAAGAATCATAAATCACGTAATAATTAACAATTATTATGAGAAATTGAAAAGTATAAGTTATTATAGCTTTTTCTAAATATTTAAAATTTATTGAATTACTGACTCAAAGCATCATTGTTTTTTTAAAAGGAAGATGTACGTTATTTATATTTAATCTCCTTTTTCACTTTATTAACCATTTTTTTAAAAAAAATACCCAAGTTGCCCTTCATCCAACCAAATAAATTATTAATATTTATCAAATATTAAATTCTAAAAAAAATTTAATTCCATAATTGATTATAAATTAAGATAAAGACAAAAACTTTATAGTTAAATTATTTCAGATTCCCACTCAAACGTGATAAATAGGTTTTTTAGATAGAAAAACTCGCACATTAATTATTAAAAATATATAATTAAAAATACAAAAAAAAGGTATAAAAATACAAGGAAATTAATTATTAAATATAAAGTTTTGGTACCCTTGCTTTCCTAAGACTTGTAGGGATAACATGGACGCACCTAATAGCATAAATAAATAATAATAATAATAATAATAATAATAATAATAATAATAATAGTAAACAACATTTATATTAGCAACTGCGGCTAACAATTTTATTTCATTAATTGTTTTTAAATAATTAATTGTAACTATTCGTGTTTTGAGATACTCAAGTTATCTCGACTCCGATAACATTGTGGCTCGTACATGTTCTTGCCTTGACCATACCACTTAATAATCATTTAAAAAGGAAGAATGTAGTATGAATGACTATAAACTGCTTGTAGATTCTTAATTTGTCCTTAAGTCTGATGTAATGTGTTGTTCCAAAATACTCATAGTTTTTGGTGATTGCCGCGTGGGGATGCAAGCTTGACGTTAGAGGAACGATTGTGGAAACTCTCGACGACTGAAGTTTAAGAGTTAAGTGGTTTTAGGCGTTTATATGAAAGTAAAGAAAACCACAAATCAAAGTTTTAAATTTCAATAACCTGATGTATCACAATAGGGAAAATTGCAAAAAACACATGAGGAAGAAGAAGACGAGGTGTATGCAGCACACGCAATCGTGTGAGGAAGGGTGACTGGAGTGTGCGATTGGGCGAATCCCAAGTGCATGAGGCATGAACCATTGGCACGTGCAACTTCTGTTTGGTTTCCATTTGACTCCTCTTTACCTATTCATTCATCTATACTTATATTGAAAATTGTTAAATATAGTGTAATGGAGAGAAATTGTGTTAGATTACCCTCTTCTAAGCCTACATATTAAGAAAAAATGAGTTAAAAAACAAGTACAGTATCGAGCTTCTCAAATAAGTTCTTAATTTGTTTCGCATACATGAGCATGTTGATTACATGATTAAAAATTTAAAATAGTAATACGTGCATTGATGATATGATTATTTATTTTACAGTGTGATTGCTTGCCTAAGATGATGTAAACATGTTGTATATGCTAATAGAAAGTTTATGACTCTAGGTATAGTTTATTGAGGTATGAACTATATATGAGTATTGTAGTTTATTAATTTTCGCAAAATTTATAACCGACGCACTGTGTGCTAAGTTACGAACAATGAGGATTCCTAACCGTTGGCTTATATGATATTACAAGGAATAATGAGGATTCCTAGCCCTTGGTTTATATGATATTATAGGATGCCATAAAAATTAATAGATGCCCGTATTTGATGTACAAGTCCAAAAATTCTAAATAAGCAGAACCAGTAACCAGGCTAGAAACAACTAAAATACTACTCAATGAACAAATGGTCGTGGTAAAGGAAACTAAGATTCAAGGGTGAAAAAAACTTAAAAATAGCTAGGGAGATGAGTAATAAAACTTGCCAATGACAAGTTAGCTACTTACTAAGTAAATTAATTACTTATCAAAATTATTTTAATTTTTCTTTTTAGATAGAGAAGATGCACGGCATTAGATAGAGAAGATGCACGGAAACCGAGGACAAGACGGTGGGCTAGAGACTACTAAGAATCTTTTTTTGAGTCTGTTTTATGTACTTATTTTGAAGTGTAAAAAGTAGATGGTCTTATGATGACGGGTTGTAAATAATGTAATTCACAAGTTTTACTTGTTTTGTTTTATGGTGTTTTGGAAACAAATTATACGTAACTCCTAAGATTCGAGCAGTAGATGAGTGGGTGTTACAATTTTATACCTTGATGGCATATTCCTAAGTCATAGGCTCTCTTAGTCTATCATCTAGGTTCAACTAGAATCACCCAAGCTTAACGTAGGATTTCGGTTCGATACATCCCTCATTCTGATTAGGGCTCTCGTCGCTTCATTAGGTCCTAGGTCTCTTTCAACACGTGTGGCACCGAACAAAATGACTGGGCGTGAGGTTAAAAGATTTGACATGTGTCGTTTGTGAAACCCCATATGGCCTTGCTTTGTCGTTTTATTAATTGGAGTTGACAGCATCGACATCCCCTCACCAACGCTTCTTAATGCACACGTTTAACCTCTCAATAATATTCATTTTTTTAAAATTGAACTAAAATATTCATAAATTATTGAAGTGGATTTATCATACATTATTAAGGAATTTAAAATCAAGGATTAAGGGTGTGTTTAGATGCATATAATCAACACTGTAGTACCCAAATGAAGCAACAAAACAATCCAACCACCAAAACCCCTTAATTTCATTCATTTACTCACTAACAAAAATTAAACTCTAAATTCATATAATATAATATATATTCCCCACTTGGTGTTGCCTATTCTATTCTTGTCACCAGCTCATCTTACCTCTCATTTCAACTAACTTAACATTACAATCACATGAAAACATACCTAATAAGAAAGTTGCAATGCTGCCATGGAAAGGATAAGCAGAGTAAAGCAGAGGAGTTGAGTATCCATCCAGAAATTTAGAATTTGCTGATGAAATCATATATGTGGGCGCTTATTTCATCTGCTTTTTCTTGGTTGATGAAGTGCGCTGCCCCTTCCATCACTACCACTTCTTCCAGAAGTGGCACGTCGTTCTTGAATCTGCCGCTGTGAATGTACTGCTTCGCACCTGGAGAATTGTACACCATATCCAGATCCCCCACTACGAATTTCGCAGGAACTTTGACCTGTGCTCCACACCATGGCCCAGTCAGCTCCCAGGTTCTGCAATCAATCAGAAAAAACACAATATCGGTTTCTTGGCCCTAGAACAATAAGAACAGAGAAATCTATTTCATCAAGCTAAATTTGTAAATTCACACAGGTCAAAGGCACGATAGTAGTTGAGTCCGCCGGTGAAGCCAGTTTTCGCGAATCTGGAGGCGAAGTAATCGATATCCTCCTCCGTTAACCACGGCGGTAAGGATTCTGGAGTCTTCAGTGTTTTGAATCCATTAGGTATAATCGGAGGGCTTGGATCTCTAATCGTCAGGAATTTCTTCATCATCGTAGCCGTATCCACAGATCCAAAGTCGGCTTCAGCCACTCCAGGTTTCTAAACCAAATCTCACAATTAGCGATACATCACTTAACCTAATGCGACCGATTCATTCAATTTCAGAAACCACAAAACACTGCGAACATTCAATCGCTTTTACCTGAAATTTACAAATGTAAAAATCGTCGCCGAGTAATTTCCGGATAAGGCTGAGAGTTGAGATTGCCGGATTCCGAGGAGTATAATGGACACTCAAATTGACCAGAGCTTTGACTCGATCGGGCCTGAAAAGGCAAAAGTACCAAGCCATCATCGCGCCCCAATCGTGGCCTACCAAGAAAACTTGATCGATTCCGAGATGATCGAGGAGGCCAATGAGGTCTCCGATGATGTGGAAAGGCGTATAGGAGGAGGGAGACGGCGGCACGTCCGAGTCGCCGAAGCCGCGGAGATCAGGGGCTATGGCTCGGAAGCCCTTGGAGGCGAGAAAGAGGAGCTGGTGGCGCCATGAGTACCAGAGCTCAGGGAAGCCGTGGAGGAATAAGACCGGCGGACCGGAGCCGATGGAAGCGACGTGCATGTTGATGCCATTGGTGGCGATGGTGGAGTGCTCGATTTTCTCCATGGATGGGTTTCGTTTTGTTGCTTCTCCACCGTGTACGTCTCTCTGTCTATCTGCATTCGGCTTAAATAGAAAGCTTGGGGGACATAGCCTCGGCTTATCCGCAGTTATTATTACCATTTTACATTCCTACTCAAATGTGATAAATAGGATCGTTAAATATAAAGAAATTTCTTTCACACTTCCGCCTTCTGTCACCTAATAATTAAATAATTGCAACCAGTTGAGTAGCTTTTGGAAAAGACCGGACCACAAGACCGGACCATATACCACCACCAAGAAAAGACGGGACCATATGCCACCCATCAACTCACGTGAATCTTTAAAACTATGCCTAATTTGAAATTATTAACACGTGCATGCATTAATTATGAATTAGTTTTGAACATTACAAGACACCCTTGCCTCGACCATGTCGCTTAATATTCATTTAAAAAGGAATAATGTACCATGAATGAATATAAACTACTTAGCTTACTTGTAGATTCTTAGTTTGTTCTTAAATCTTACGTTATTTGTAGTCATTAAAATTGTTCGTGTGCCCTGTTTTATACTTTGACGTCACACCACTAAGTCATAGACTATCATCTAGGTTCAACTAGAATCACCCAAGCTCAACTTAGGGTTTCGGTTCAATAGCTTCTTAGTTCTTCATCCTTCATTCTTATCAGGGCTTTCGTCCGCTTCATTAGGTCTTAGGGTGCGACTCTTCAAAGCTTACTATCTCGTGAGGTATGTCGTAGGGTTCTAAAGTGTTCTGATTAGTTATTCTATAGTCTCTTTCATCATCAACGACCAACATATCATATGTATTCGAAGTGTGACATCACCGTAGTTCTTGTTAGATGAACACGACTCTCCACAAACAAGCTCTCATGACTTTGCTTTGGGCTTTTCCAAAAGATCTCGTACCAATGGAGAGAAGCCTAAAGCAAAGTCATGAGAGCTTGTGCTCAAAGTGGATAATATCATACCATTGTGGAGAGTCGTGTTCATCTAACATGGTATCAGAGAAAGTCATGCCCTAAACTTAGTCGTGCCAATAGATTGGTAAATCCTCAAACATCGAACAAAAAACTCGAAAAGAAAAGGAGTCGAGCCTCCTCGAAGGCAATCAAAATGACTAAGATTTCAAAGGAGTCGAGCCTCGATTAAGAGGAGGCGCACTTTGTTCGAGGGGAGGTGTTGGATGATGAAAGTCCCACATCGACTAATTTAGGGAATGATCATAGGTTTATAAACAAAGAATACTCTCTCCATTAGTACGAGGTCTTTTGGGGAAGCCCAAAGCAAAACCATGAGATCTTGTGCTCAAAGTGGACAATATCATACCATTGATGAGAGTCGTGTTCATCTAATAATTCTCATCGACACTATCCATCGATACAAATTAACGGAGTGTAAGTACAGCAATAAGCGTTAAGCCAACACATTTGTATCACATAACTGAAAAAGGCGCGCTGTTACCTCCATTGCAGCTGTTGCAGCGGCCATGAAAACGAAAAACGAGCTTGCACTGAAGCAAAGAGGGAGAAAGATTCAGAACTTGTTAATGAACTCATAAATGAGGGAGCTAATTTCATCTGCTCTTTCTTGGTTGATGAAGTGAGCTGCTCCTTCTATCACCACCACTTCTTCCAGAAACGGCACGTCTTCCTTGAACCTTCCCCCATGTATATACTCCTTCGCACCTGGAAAATGGTACACCAAATCAAGATCCCCCACTATGAATTTTGCAGGGACTTTGACCTGTGATCCACTCCATGGCGCCGTCAGTTCCCATGATCTGTACCCACAAAATACATGTACAAAATTCGAAGAAGCTACAGATCTTGGAAACAGCATAGGTTTTAGGGATTCAGTTCATATTCTTACAGGTCAAATGCTCGGTAATAGTTGAATCCTCCGGTGAAACCTGTTTTGGAGAATTTGCTAGCGAAATAATCAACATCCTCCTCTGTTAACCATGAGGGCAGAGGATCGGGAGTTTCCAGTATCAAGTTTATGCAAAACTGTGCCTCACACTATTGAGGACATATTCTATTTATATTGGCAAAAGATTAACTAATAGATCCGATTTCATAGGAAACTAACGAAGTAAGCCTATTCTTATGGCATGACCAACTTCAAGCTATTCTAATGGATTGACCAATTCTAACAGTCCCCTTCAATCCCAACAAGTCTTGTACATGTTGAGATTGTTACAATGTGTAGTAAAAGGAGTTTTAGACAGTGGTTTTGTCAGGATATCAGCTACTTGATCACTTGATGAAATGAACCGAACTTCCATTGCTTTACGTGCTACTTGTTCTCGAACAAAATGAAAATCAACTTCAATATGTTTCGTTCTAGCATGAAATACTGGATTTGAAGTTAAATATGTAGCTCCGAGGTTGTCACACCAGAGGCGAGGAGCCTTTGATTGATACACGCCCAGTTCCTTCAGTAATGACTTGATCCAAATCATTTCTGCAGTAAGATTCGCAATGGCCTTGTATTCTGCTTCGGTGCTTGATCTTGACACTGTAGCCTGTTTTCTGGAACTCCATGAGATTAGATTTGCTCCAAGAAATACAGCAAAGCCGCTAGTTGAACGTCGATCATCGGGACAACCAGCCCAATCAGCATCAGAAAACCCCGACAACATCATGGTTGATTTCTGAATTTTCACTCCTAATGCTAGTGTGCCTTTAACATAACGAAGAATTCTCTTCACAGCACCCCAATGAGCATCAGTAGGTGTATGAAGATATTGACACACTTTATTGACAGCAAATGCCAAATCAGGCCTAGTCATTGTCAAATATTGTAGTGCTCCCACTGTACTTCTGTATTTGAATTGTTCTTCAGCTGATAAGGGTATTCCTTGTTCTCTGAATAATTTTTCAGCAGAACCCATTGGTGTAGACATAGGTTTGCATTTTTCCATGTTTACTCTTTTCAACAAATCTAAAGCATATCGTCTCTGTGACAGTATGATACCATCTCGTGTTTTCTTGACTTCAATACCCAGAAAATACTCAAGATCACCCAAATCTTTTACTGCAAAATCTATTTTCAATTTCTGAATCAACCTTTCGGTTGCTTGATCAGAGGAGCTCACAATAATTATATCATCAACATAGATGAGCATATAGATAGTTATCTCTCTGTTTTTGAGAATAAAAAGAGATGAATCAGCTACTGAAGCCTTGAAGCCTAACTCAATAAGTTTTCCAGTCAACCTTGAATGCCAAGCTTTTGGGGCTTGTTTCAGGCCATAAAGGGCTTTCTTGAGCTTGCATATGTAATTCTTTGGTTTGGCTGAGTCTTGAAATCCTGGTGGTTGTCGCATGTACACTTCCTCTTTCAGAATTCCATGCAAAAATGCATTTTGGATATCAACTTGTCTCATATTCCAGCCCTTGGTTACTGCTAGCGAAAGAATGACCCTGATTGTTGACGGTTTGATCACAGGGCTAAAAGTATCAGTGTAATCAACACCAAATCTTTGCTTGAATCCTTTGGCAACTAATCTTGCTTTTAATCTTTCAACTGACCCATCTGCTTTTCTTTTCACTTTATACACCCATTTACTATCAATGAGATTTATTCCAGGTTTGGGTGGAACTAGATCCCAAGTGGCATTTCGTTTTAGCGCTGAGAGCTCATCATTCATTGCTCCTCTCCATCTTGGATGTTGCATGGCTTCCTGCAGGTTTCGAGGTTCAGTAGCAGTCTCTATGATCGGAGTTGTGATAGTTACAGCGCTTGCGAATTTTCTTGAGGTTTCTGAATATCTGATAGTTCCATCAGTGAATTGTTTAGCTTGTACAATGTTATTTCTCAACCTTGTTCGCATTGGATGTTGACTAGCTGCTTCAGTTGGTTGATCAGACACATGTTCATGAGTTTGGTTTTGAGCATTGATCGAACTGCTCTCAGCTTCATATTCTGCAATTTCCTCTGAACTTCTTGTATTATCTGCAGAAGATAAGCTGACACCAGACAAGTTGTCACTAGCAATATTATCAGTTTGACCATCATTCATATGGGAATTACTAACAACTGGTTCAATATCTGTAAGAGCATTTTCAGTGTAAAAACTAGCAAGTTTGGCTAAGGCTGGAAGTAGAACAGGATGATGTGGATTTGTGGTTTTGTTTGGTGGCTTAGATTCTTCAAAAGGAAAAATATTTTCATCGAAAACCACGTCTCTAGAGATGTAAATACGTCCTGTACTTCTATTTAAGCATTTATATCCCTTATGAGAAGAACTATAACCCAAGAATATACATCTAGTAGTTCTGAAACTCAGTTTCTTGTTGTTGTAAGGCCTTAAATTAGGCCAGCAAGCACAGCCAAACACCCTAAGCATGGAGTAGTCTGGACTTTTACCAAACAATTTATGAAGTGGTGTGTCTTGTTGTATGGTTCGGCTGGGCATTCTATTTATAAGAAAGCAAGCTGTGTTGAAAGCTTCATCCCAGTAGGATAGAGGCATGTTGGCTTGAGCGAGTAAAGCAAGGCCAGTTTCTACAATGTGTCTGTGTTTTCTTTCGACTAACCCATTCTGCTGGTGTGTGTGAGGACAGGAGATATGATGTTCAATGCCTGTGGATTTGAAATAATTGTGTAACCGATGGTATTCACCCCCCCAATCTGATTGGACGGAGCGAATTTTGGTATTTAGCATAGTTTCAACATGTTTTTGAAATTGAAGGAACACAGACTCAACATCAGATTTGCATCTCAGAAAGTAAATCCAAACATAACGACTAAAATCATCAACAAAGGAAACATAATATTTGGAATTATTTACTGACGCAATGGATGGACCCCATACATCAGTGTGAATTAATTGAAGGGGTGCTGTAGATACATGCTGAGAAGAACCAAATGGCAATTGATGTGCTTTCCCTAATTGACAAGCATTACAAATTGAGGAAGAGGGAATATTAGTATCTATAGCTAAATTATTATCTTGTAGAATTCTAATGGTAATTGGAGATGCAGGGTGCCCTAGCCTTCTGTGCCATTGTTCTTTCGAAAGTTTGGCTGTCAGCAAGGCTTGACTGAAATTATGCGGTAGAACGTATAGGCCATTCTTACATCTACCGTGGAGCAGGAGTTTCTTCGTGACTCGGTCCTTAACC